GAAACCGTGAACTTTTGAGGTTTTTAAAAAATCCCAGACAGAATGAAGAACGGGCTAATGTGGAATTATTTCTGAAGGTTGAGCGCATCAAAATTTGAATTGGCATCTTGGTTTTCTGAGGAAATCGTCATTTTAAGATTGGGGAACTAAATGGCTAAAGAGACTTTTTTTTCAGTAGTTTCTCCAGCCAGTTTGATGTAGTGGGTAGAATGTTGGACCTAGGGGTTGGTTTTGGGATTCTAAGCCATATTCATGATTCTAAATCTGTCCTTATAACATTCAATTTATTTATTATTTAATGTTCTCCTACTCTTTCAAAAATATTACAGTAGATATCATTTGCTTTGTTCCATTTTTCCTTTTTAAAACATTACGTTGGCATCCTTAATATTATATTTATTATATATTATATCCTTTTTGAGAGGCAGGGCAAAAACACATTCAAGAAGATGTCTAGGGATGGTGGATTTTTCTTATAATTCATCTTGATTATTTATAATTGGGGCGGGAGAAAGACCTTTCCAGAACCCATAGAGTACCACACAAGGAGTGTCTCTCAAGGAATCATTCTCAAGGAATAGATGATGCCTTTAAAACTATTGAAACACTATAGGGAGAGAATAGCATGGATGAAGGCTGATCAGAGACAGAGTGTAGAAGAGCAAAATGAAGTAAGGCTTACCAAGGAGACTTGTTTCAGAAAAATGGTAGAGAATATATAGCTGAAGAAAAAGATAGGAAGGTTCGAATGACTATAGGAGGTCCAGATAACTGCAGTGAAAGACTTTTAAATTTAACATGGTGGTTATGCAGAAGCCAGTGTTTCATAAAACAAAAGAGTAATTTAGTTAGAGCAGTGAGAACAGAAAAAAGATATGTTAGTATCAGCTTCCAGAGATCTCCCAGAATTACAGCTACAGAGATCCATTCTCCTGGTGAAAATGGCTGTTCTGGAGAGTGGACTCTATGGCATTATACCCCCGAAGAGCATTATGCCCAGGGGAGAAAGCACTACTGGCGATCCCTGGCCTGAAATGAAAGGCATCTGGCTGCCCTCTACCAGAGCCAGGTTTTTAATTTGATTTGCATATACTAGTACAACTGTTGTACACCACCCTAAGCCTTGTTTCATGGGGGGGGGGAGTCTATAAGCCAGATTTACAAATAAATAAAATATTAGAAACAAGAGAATGAAAATGAAACAAAGGAAGGCCAGTGGACAGAGCATTACAGCAATCAAGGTGAGGAATATTACACAAATAATAAAGTACACATATAAATAAGTACTTTAGTCAGGAGAAAGGAACAAATCTTAATGTTGGGCATTTGAATAGCAATGGAACACAGAAAATTTTAAAGTCCTAAACTATCTGAAGCTAGTATAATCACTCAAAATCCAAATTACCCCCACAGAAAGCAAATTCCAAATTACCCCCACAATTACAAAACTCAGACTGGCATCCTGGTCCTTTGATATTACTCAGACCTCAACAAGTTAAAAATATGTAAAGCTTAACTGATTTGAGGGTGAAATATTATACCACCAAAAATATACTGAAAAAAACAAAAGAAAAGCTGGCAACCTGCAAGCCTAGGTGGTAAGAAGAAGAAGAGTCTTAGCAAGAAAAGTGGACTGTAAGTGACTACAAATTCAGTGCTCTCTTAAACAAAACAGTTTGGGAAGACAAGGGTTGCTAATCTCCAAGTGGGGCCAGGAGATCTCCTGGAATTACAAGTGACCATTAGAAGACAGAGATCAGTTTTTCTGGAGAAAATGGCTGTTCTGGAGAGTGGACTCTATGGCATTATACCCTGCTGAGATTCCTCCCCTAAATCTCCCAGGAATTTTCCAATCTAGAGTTGGCAACCCTAAAAGACCTAAGATAAATTATTCTAACCATGCCATGGTGGTCTACTCAGACTAGGGTTGCCAGTCCCCCCCCCCCCAGTGAGAGTGGGGGAATCACACTTACACAGGTTCTTGCCTGCTGCTGGCCAGCTGGCCAACGGGGGGAAATCTCACCCCCAACTGACATCTTTGGGCCTACTTCCAGTTTCAGGCCTACTTCCGGTTGAGGGTGACACTTTGGTTTTTGGGCAAAACTCTATGTTTTGAAGCCAAATTTGCACCCAAACTAGTGTCACCCCTGACCAGAAGTAGGCCCCCAAATGCCCAACATTATTTCCGGTGTCCCAGAAGGATGTTGGGAGACCCCTGCTGGTCAGGTAAGTCAACCTGGCAACCCTAACTCAGACTAGTCAAAACAATTAAACATAACATTAGTCTTGCCTTTCTATTCCATATTGTGTGTGTGTGTGTGTGTATTATCTACAGAGCCAGTTTGGTGCAGTGGTTAAGTGCGTGGACTCTAACTGGGTTTGATTCCCCACTCCTCCACTTGCACCTGGCTGGATGACCTTGGGCAAGCCATAATTCTGGCACAGCTGTTCTTGAAAAAGAGCAGTTTCTGTTAGAGCTCTCTCAGCCCCACCTACCTCACAGGGTGTCTGTTGTAGGGAGGGGAAGGGAAATGAGTTTGTAAGCCGCTCTGAGACTCCTTCAGGTAGTGAAGGGTGGGGTATCAATCCAATCTCTTCTTTTTCTTATTTTCTATTCATTATGCTTGAAAGATTTTAATCTGAAAGGAAAACTGATAACAGGTTAACTGGCTGCATATGGGCTGCATGTGTCAGAAAATCATGTCAGAAGAGCTGTCTGATTGTGTTACTGACTCCACATTTAGTGGAAATGTTAGTAACAGGTCATATTAGAGTTCATTTGCTTAAAGGCATGTCAGTAATGCTAGCTAGCTTGACATGGAATATTAATAATAACTGTTAGGAATTTTGATGCATAAGATATTGGCAGATGCCTTGGCACTGTGGATCCAGCTGCTGGTTTCAAGTAGATAGAAACATCTTCAGTTGTCACGGAAAGCAAAATGATGAGGTCAGCAAAAATACTGGGATTTAATGGGATGCAGTAACTAAATACATATTATTTCCCAGGCACAGAGGCCTGTTCAGGGGATGGCTAGCAGGTGTAGTGGTTAAGAGGAGCGGACTCTAATCTGGAATTTGATTTCCCACTCGTCCACAGGAAGCCAGCTGGGTGACCTTGGGTCATTCACCATTCTCTTGGAACTCTGTCCGCCCCACCTACTTCACAGGGTGTCTGTTGTGGGGAGAGGAAGGGACGGTGATTGTAAGCCGCTCTGAGACTCTTATGTGTAGTGAAGGGGCTATAAAAACGAACTCCAGTTCCTCCTCTTTCTCCTTGCCTGGTCTAGACAATGGCCTGTTGGAAGGTTCCCTAATCCCTTAGGCACACATTCTCACAGTGGGAGGGGAAGGTGAGAGGCGGAACCCTATTCAGAGAGCAATCCTAAGCAGGTCTGCTCAGAATCCTACTCAGATCAGTTCAGGAGGGCTTACTCCCTGGAGAGGATTGCACTGTCATCAGCACAATAAGATTTCAGAGCCATAAAATAGGCTCAGTAGTGCAGACATAATTAATTAACCAAGTCTTAACCAGCTGCTGCCTTGTGGAGCATACAGAGGCACAAAATCTGGCCACCTTAAAAGTGGTTTTGTTACAATCTGAGAGTAGGAGGGAAATGTAAAATTCATGGGGTCTGCCTGGATTGTGTGTCAAGCTTGGCAGATCGATGATCAGAACAAATAAAGATTGATTGTGGATTGTGCTGTAAGTTTCTAGCCATCTTGGATGGTCTCTCAACTCTCTCTAGCCAGGATGGTCGCTTCCTGCCTGAGCTGGCCATCCAGGTAAATACCACGTCCTTCCCAGATAATGACCGATTGTTTGTTCCTGGGATCTTGTGTTAATTCCAGATCTGCACTGTCTCTTCTGTCACTGCAAGTGGCAATAATAATTTAGCACCTTTCACTCCCTCAACCCGCAGCCATGCTCAGAAAGATGAATTCCACCTCCTGCCCCTCACATACCTAGCATTTGATATACCACACTGCTTATCAATGCTTCCTCTTTCAGTGTATCAGATTTGCTTATGATCATTAGATTACTTTGCAGCTACGTTCTGTGTTTACTCATAGCAAAAAATTATTGTACTGTGGTAATGATCCAGAGAAAGTTAATTATGCTTAACGCCATTATAAACCAATATTTAGACATGATTAATTTTCTGTGTACCGACTGCTTTTCTTTTTCATCATCAGTAGTACACTATGCTGCATCATGTTTTTTTTTAAAAAATAACTTATTATCATAAACCCTTCTCTCTTTATTTCTTCTAGTACACTTTTTGGAACTTTGTACCGAAGAATTTATTTGAGCAGTTCCGAAGAATAGCAAACTTTTATTTTCTTATCATTTTTCTTGTACAGGTAAGAAATACTTATTTAATTTTGTTCTATGTTTAGTACAATATCTATGTCCAGGTGTTTTTTTTTACTTACAGTTTAATCTTGAAAAGAACTTTTAAAAAGTCTTATAGTACGTTAATTTTTATATGGCAGCTAATATTTTGCAGAAAGGATTTCAGGCATTTAGATGAAATTTTAAGTACCACAATAATGAGTGACATTTTGCATCTGGTTAGCCGAGCATGCTAAGCACATTTCCTAGCAAGAATATTTTATTAAATATCCAAGTAAGGCTTCTAAGATTGAGGTAAAATTGTTCAAGGACTGTACATGAGCATCTGAACATATGAGGCTCCTTTTTATAGAGTCACTAGAAATAAGGCCCGTTGTGGAAATAAATACAACGAGATCTAGAAAGAGGCTCTGGGAGAGTGCTCTGGCTTTGGGCAAACAGTGTCAGTCTGCTTTTAAAACATGAATCTGGGACCTGCACACCACCAGAATACAGCAGATTCCATATGCAACTGAAATTCCAACTGCCTTGCGGGGGGGGGGGGGTTTGAGATGTGGAATGGAGTGAAGTCCAATCAGCTTCCATATGCAAAAGACCAGGTTGTTGCAGCAGTTGTGGTGTGGGCGGGACCCGGGCTTTGCCTTCTGATTGGTGGCGATATATGCTGAGGAGCAGTGCCATCAGCCACTAAGGGAGTGCATTTTAGAATTAGAACTTTGGCACCCACTATTCAATTATATATAAGGAGAGATGTTATTGGCCCATATAGTTCAGTATAGTCTAGTCCGATTGGCAGCATTTCTTCAGACTTTCAGACAGAAAAAAGGTCTTACCTTGCCTGTTGCTAAATCTTTTAACCAGTGATGCCGATTATACCTGGGACATTCTGTATGTAAAATGTATACTCTCCCACTGAGGTACAGTTATTACCAAAAGTGTGTTGTTCTCTAAGCTGAACTGAAAAGTCTGAGAACAGAGTTTGAGTTCAGTGACACCTTTAAGACCAACAAAGTTTAATTCAAGGTGTAAGCTTTTGTGTGCAAGCACACTTCTTCAGTCTAGGAGTTATTCGTATGTGCCCTAAATGAAGACTATGGAGCAGAAGTGGATAGTTATATGCCAGTTGCCATACATGATGCTTCTTTTACTTGCAGTGGCTCTGTTCGCATTGTTGTGGCTGTAGAACCTCAGGACTGCTCCACACGTAATGTTTTTAGGTGTATGTTTAAGCTAAGTAATTAAAATATATAAAGTGTGAAATCGACAAGATTTTTTTTTTGCAAATATCAGCTTCATGTAGGTATGCTTGTCATGGAACCATAGTTGGCTGCTACAGTTGAGTGTGCATGTGGTGACAAATCTAGATTACCCTTGATGTAAAGCATGCTTTACATGGTAAAGGTTTCCCTTGCTTGAAAGGTAGTCAAATCTGACTCTAGGAGGCAGTGCTCATCTTTGTTTCCAAGCCAAAGAGCCAGCGCTGTCCGAAGATGTTTCCGTGGTCATGTGGCTGGCATGACTAAACGCCAAGGTGCACGGAACACTGTTACCTTCCCACCAAAGTGGTACCTATTTATCGATTTGCAATTTCTTGCTTTCGAACTGCTAGGGTGGCAGGAGCTGGGGCCAGAGACAGGAGCTCACCCCATCACACAGCACTAGGGTCTCGAACTGCCGAATCACAGACCTTCCAGTCTGCAGCTCAGCCTCTTAACCTCTGAGCCACCATGGCCCCTGATGCTTTACATGGAACCATGCTTTTCTGGTCAGAGAGCTAAGACTGACTGATCAACTTTGCAGAACTTTCCCCCAGGTTGCTAAAAAAAGTTATGTGGTGTTCATTAGGTTGTAGCTTGCCATTCTTACGGCTTAATTTTAGTCACTGCAGAATACTTTGCCAAAGCCTGGAGTTTTTGTTTTTTAAATGGGTTGAACCAGATAAAATTCAGTGTATTACTTTTCATTTGCTGGTCTATAAAACTGTGTAATCTTTGTTTTGCAGTTAATTATTGATACACCAACTAGTCCCGTGACAAGTGGGCTGCCACTTTTCTTTGTCATCACCGTAACAGCTATAAAACAGGTAAGGACCTTGCTTGTCCAAAGTGAATATATTATCAGCTCTGTGCAGTCATTCTCATCCATTAGGGAGCAGAAGATATCAAATAGCAGAAGGTTCTAATTCTGTGTGCTTTTTTCTAATTTCCCTCATTAATTCACTTACCAGGATGCTTTTTCTTGGGAAGTTAGATCCTTCAAAGGCCGCTTATGCAGCCTTTTATTAGAATACTTGTTTTCTTTTACTAACAGTGCAGGGCGGGGTAAAAATACCTGAATAAATAAAAAATAAATAAATAAAATTAATGTAGCATAAGCCATTTGACATCAGTGTACTTAGAATGGGATAACTCTATATGGGATTGCACCGTCAGCCTCTAAGTACATTTTCCTCTGTCTTTCTGGATTACATGTATGTCGCATGTTTATCCCACCCATCCTCCAAAGAATTCAAGGCAGTGTGCATGATTTCCCATTCCTCCTTTTTATCCTCTGAACACTTCTGAGTGAGAGGGCAGACTGAGAGAAACTGACTGCTTCTTGTCTGAGTGGGAATTTGAACCCGGGCCTCCCAAGTCCTAGTCTTACACTCTAACCATTATCCTTACAACAACCCAGTTAGGCTGACGTAAACCGCATAGCTCAGCTGCATTTTGAATCAAAGTCTGCCTCTAGGGGAATGTTATAAACCAGAACTCATTTGTTACGAGGGCCGGATCTGACATAAATGTCATTTTTGTCAGGCCGGGCCATGTGTGCCATAAAACAATAATGCCAGGTACCGGAGATATAAACTGTATAAAGGACAGCAGCTGGTAAGCTCTGAGTTGTTGTATCCTCACTGCAAGGCCCCATGGTCTGGGACGGGGGGTGCAAAGGGAAACCCACATGGGTGGACTGGAGAGCCAGCGGTCCAGCCCTGGGCAGATGTTTATGTGCTGCTTGGCTGTTGCAGATAAGGTTGTTCTGCTGTGCTGAAGCCACAATCTGAGTGGCTCCACCCACTCCCCCATGAGCAGTCTTCTGTTCCCTCCCTTGCACCAGCTGCTCGTGGGCCACATAAGAGCCCTGGATGGGCCGGTTTCAGCCCCCGGACCTTATGTTTGACACCCCCGTTATAAACCAATGCTTGATTTTTTAAAAAATTCTGTAAATATGCAGGGAAGTGAATGTGGAAACAAGAAAATATTTAAACAATGTGTTTGTTTACTGATAATTAACAGACCGCATACCTGTTTATACATAAACATTTCTCTAGAATGTAAGGAAACAATCCTAAGCTGGTCTGTTCGGAAGTAAGTCCCATTTTATTTTGTGGGACTGACTCCCAAGAAAGTATCCTTAGGATTGCAGCAAAGATTATGGAAATATTTAGAGTGACCCACTCTAGGACACAATAAATTTTACCAACCCCCTCCCCCCAAAAAAGAACACCTTCATCCACTTGATATTTTACATCTTTCCCTTCTAACATTAGTGGCTTGGATGGTAGCAGTTTCTGCAGGTCCCTCCTTCCCACTCGATAGCCCCCTTTCCGTTTCTCAAGCTTGTCTCCCAACCCCCAGGAATGACTTCTACTGAAGTAGGAAGGGAGGCAGGGAATATCTGTTCTGTGATGGGAGTTCTGCATGTGGAATTCATGGTTCTTTTGGTTCGTAAGTGTCCAGAAGAACTAAGTAAGTGGGCGAGCCAGAAAAACACACTGTATGCAATATTTGTAGCAGATCCTTTAATGTGTTTATGCTGTGCCAAACAGAGAGAGAGAATTATGTTAAAACTTACCTTCTTGTTGGTGCCAATGAGAGATGCGAACATGTACTTCCTCACCATTTCCTGTGAGTGAAACAGACTGTATATAATAAACTTGACCACCTTTAATTATGAACAGGGCTTGGGCAGGAGGGTGCAGAAGAATTCTGTCCAGTTTATTTTGGTGTGTTAGAGAGCAAAGTCATGTGCGCACCTTGAAAGAGCAGCGTTTGCTCACGTGGTGAGTTGCGGGGAGTTGCAACTGAAGACCAACATGGCTGCCCTCTGAAGCTATTACAGATCAAAGCACTGAGAAAACAACAGCTAACTTTTTCATATGCACTTTACACTGCCTCAGCTTTAAGTCATGGGTCACATTAAAACTACACAGGAATGGACAAATAATTAACAGAAATCATCTTTCAGGCAAGCCCCCAGAAGTCTTGTCCAGCTCTGGGAGGAGCATCCAGTTACTGTCCACTCAAAACAAACTTCACGTGTGGCTTTAATGCACAGGTCATGATTCATAACTTCTAATATAAACTGGTGACTTTGTTTAGAATGGTGGAAATCCATGTGGTAAGCAGGTCTGGACATTTACAGCTGCTATGCAAAGTTCGTTTCAAAATGGGCTTCTGTATAGAGGCAGCAACTTATAATGGGCCTTTAATGTTAAAGCTGATGAATTTCTGGGATTTCACAAATGTACCATGGGAATTGTTTGAAAATGTATTTCCTCATATCATTTTAAACACACTGGTGATTCTTTGACTGCATTCCATATTTTGTTTCTTTAAGTAGTAGTATTATCTGCATCAGTCTGTTGGCATAGGACAGGATATATTGAACGAATGAATGAGGAAACAATGGTTTGGCCTATTCGGAAAATGTTGAAATAGTACTTTTTTTATCCAACTCTGCAAAGTTAACCTGTGATCACTGCTGTTTTTATCCTAATTGTCTGGTTTGCAAGAAGAGCTTGTGTTAGCTACTTTTCATTCATCAGCTGTAAAAGAAGAACAAGCACCAGCATTTTCACACTTTTGCAGTCAACAGCTGTGATTTGTAGTTGATTTCCGCTTAAGTGATACTAGGTCTTTGTGACAAACACAATAACTAGCTAATTAAGTATATCTTTTCCCACATGAAAATATAATCATTGGTGCTAATCAAGAATTGGAGCTTAAGAGTTATCAGATTGAATTAAGCCATGCTATTCAATTGCCATTAAAGCCCCGATGGTACAGTGGAGGGGGGGTGGCTAGTGCAGTGGGGGGGGCTGCTACTGGCACACTGGGGCAGGGACACTGCGGGAACCTGCCATGCGAAAGCCCTGTTGCTGCTGCACTGTATCAGCAGCCACAGAAGCAATGGGGACACTACAAACCGTGTGCCCTGGGCACAACAAACCTTTTCCCATGTGGAGAACACCAGTGTACTTGCCATTCATCCAGACCAAATGAACACCAAAAGATTTCAGTTGTCCCCTTTCTATTATGCCCTATTTTTGCTTGTGTGCTTCATATTTTTAAGAGTTGGGAGCAGCGCTATTTTTGGGCAGGAACGCACAGGAACAGAGTTCCGGCTAGCTCCCAAGTTGGCCACACCCAGCAGCAACTCATTAGCATAATAGGCCACACCTAACAGCAGAAACTCATTAGGATTGGCTACATTAGGGGTGTGTGGCCGAACATGCAAAGGAGTTCCTGCTACAAAAAAAGCCCTGGTCGTTTTGACAACAAACAAGGTAAACAGAATAACAAGCAAAAGGTGGGTGTGGCTGGATAATCACACTTCTGGTAACATGGGGGTGTGCTAATGAGCTGTGCTGTCAGGGGTGTGGACTAATATGCTAATGAGTTCCTGCTGTTGGGTGTGGCCTATTATGCTAATGAGTTCCTGCTGGGCTTTTTCTACAAAAAGAGCCCTGGTTGGGAGTAACAGAAACTTGAATTACGTTTTAATGATCACAGTTCCATTGATAAATACTGATGTTACGTTAAATATTGGGGAATGATCACTGAGATTTGTTGTTCTTTACTAATGAGACTAATGGGAAAAGGTACAAACCACATGACTCTTGCAACTGTAATGTTAGCTGGCTGGCTGCTAGTGTTAAGGGATTAGTATTGGGCTGGGGGATTAAGTTGGCGTTCTGAAAGCTAGTTTGGAGCTTGTGTTAATAAAATGGGACAGAGAGGCAGTGCTATATCTTGGTCCCATAATCTTAGCGAATGGCTACAGAGTGCTATATCTGCAGCAGTTGTGCAAGCTCACGTGATTGGGTTTAAGGTCCCAGCACACAGAGACCCTCATACTAAGGCTACCCAGATCACACCATAACAGTCTGCCCTGCCGTGACTTGTCTGAAGTTCCCTTGATCCTGTCCTGACACCAAATGCAGCATGACCCTGTGTAAACCACATATTTCTGGTGTCAGAAAACGTGGTCTGTGATGTCAGTACCCCTTTAAAGGATTGACTGGAAACAAGTGAATAAATGAGTTCTCCTTAATACTTAATGTTTGAGAAGTGGGTTGAACTGGAGTTATTCTGTTGTTTTAAAGAAGTCAGCAAATTTTCACGATAATTTCAACTCCTGCTTTCACCCTCCCCCCCAAATAATCTCTGTTATAGGTTCTCCAGTTTTATGGTACAGATCCAATAGGCCAAATACTAAATGCTACTTTTTATTTGTTTGGAATGTTTAATTGATTATTTCTTTTAGGGCTATGAAGATTGGCTTCGTCATAAAGCTGACAATGGAATGAACCAATGTCCTGTTCATTTTATTCGACATGGCAAACTGGTTAGAAAACAGAGCCACAAACTGAAGGTGAGTGCCGTGTGCCCTGAACAGGGCTTTCTTGGTTAGTGTGTAGTCTTTCATATATAGGGGATATGTTCCTGTGTCCCCTTCAAACAACACAGAGGCAAATGTTGCATTTAACAGGAGATTTTACATATTTTCATTACATTTCTAAAGGTATAGCTGCTCACAAATTTATTTAACAGTTTCTGTTGTTCAGATCACAGTAATGGAATAAAAAAGCAAAAGGAACAGAATTTGCAGTACTAATCCCATTGTAGCAAATCCCATTGCAGTACTATCCCATTGTAGCAAAAGTTCTCTCCTTTCAATCTTGATCCTGGAATGTTCCAGATTCTTATGAGCATAATTCAATATTCCCAACTTCCAGATTAACACTATGAAACAAAATATGTTAAAACAGACAGGGGAGTAAATCTTTCCTTTACCCATTGTTTGCTATTACTTAACAAACTGTTCGTGGCCTACCTGTCTCCAAAGGAATATCTCCTTTTATTTTAATCAGCAGCTACCTCAAAAGAAAAATCTGCTTCTCCACTGTCTTGTCTCACTGGAAAGGAAAGAGTAAAACCCAGCAAGATATTACTAGGCAGCTACTGCAACGGCATGCTCTCTCCCACTTCCTAAGTGAAAAGCCCTGCTCTAGTATTGCCAGCTTGAGGCTTGGAAATTCCTGGAGATTTGGGGGCAGAAGCTCAGGAGAGCATAGTTTGGGAAATGAAGGGAACTCAGCAGGGATGTGATGCCAAAGGGTCTGCCCCTCTGAAGCTGTCATTTACTCCCGGGTAACTGATCTCTAGTCAGGAGATCAGTTGTAATTCTGGAAGAACTATGGGCCCCACCTGGAGGTTGGCAACGCTACCCTGCACACATTATCTCTGATAATTTTCGTGAGGGTTTACCTATGCTTCACAGATGGGAGGCAAACATTCCATAAATAAATGCAAAGCTGCTTCAGTGTAACATATCATATTGGTAAATGAAGCTGTGGGTTTTTTGTGAACCATTATATACATAAATGAACCTGTTTTGTTCTGGTATTATGTGACGTGACTTTTTGGAAGTCAAAGGTGCTGGGTGTATTTGCAGTAGGGGTGTGCAAAAAAACAACAACAACCGGTATTTTTCGGCTTTGGGTAAATCAGACCTGAAAAATATCGGTAAATGCCAAATTTCCCCTGTCCAATACCGGTAAAGTATTCAGATTGGGGAAATACTCAGTATTGTCAAATATTTTCTGGTCTTTAGTTGCTGTAAATTTTCCGGGTTGTGTGGCCATGGTCTTGGCATTGTAGAACCTGACATTTTGCCAGTAGCTGTGACTGGCATCCTCAGAGGTAAAACACAGAAAGATGGAGTACTCTCTGTGTCAAGGTGAGAAGAAAAATGGTAGGCAGGTAATGTATATCTACTCCAGAAGGTGGGGTAGTGCTGAGTCATTATCTTGTAGGAGTTCCCCAGGCTATGAACATGCTAATGGAGGAGCTTTCCTGAGGAGATTATTTTGTATGTGGATTGGCTATTGAAATTCTAATCTTCTCTGTAATGCTATTGTCAGATGTAGAGCCTTCTGTGTTTTTCAGGACAGGAAACCATGCCCTATTTATTTTTAAACTCTCTTCTTTCCTGTTGAAATTGTGTTAATGTTTATGAATTTCAATGGCTTCCCTGTGTAATCTGACATGGCAAATGGATGGGTTGTCCAGCATTTCAGTGTATAGCTACACTGTGTGGTCCCTATGTAAACTTGTCCACAACTGCATGGTATGCGGTATACTCCTGCAGAAGTGAGGGGGTCTCTTCTGTCTTTTGCTGATCGTAGCATCTGTTGTATTTTTTTGGTGTGTCTGAATACTGTTTGTAGGTTGTGTTTTTTCATAAGTTTTCCCATCTGATCAGTGATTCCTTTGATATATGGCAAAAACACTTTTCCTGTGCGAGACTGTTTCTCCTCAGTTGCTTGTTTTACCTTTGGTTTAATCGCTCTTCTGATTTCATTCTTGGAGTAGCCATTTTCTTGAAGTGCGTGTTTTAGATGATTTAGTTGTCATTGAGAAAGTGCGGTTCACATATCTGTCTTGCACAGTCTACTAATGTTAAGGAGATCACTGTTGTCAAATATTTTGCAACAGATCAAGTTACTTCTGGATAAAAATCTGCTAACAAAAGAAATACCACCCAGGACTCAACAGGATGCTGATATCTGGATAGAATAGGAGCAATCCAAAGAGACCTGGGGACAGGCCATTGATCACAGAATAACAAAAGGGGGTCTGCTACAATGTCTACTGCACCAGATAACACAGCCACAGAAGCAAGGGGGTTTACTGTGGGCAAGTAGATTTTTCTTTTCAAGACCCAGATAGTTAGGGAAACAAACCCTTATTCTAAATACCCTCCAAGTGATGGGGGAAAAATATAACAAACCCGAAAACCTTCTAATTCTGTTTTGTTGAAAAGTAGAGGCTAATCACATTTAAAAAAAAATCCTACATGGAAGGCGAGTAATGCTTTGTAAAATATGTCAGTCCCAGCAGGGACAGCCCAAGACATTTTGTGTGTATAATATCCAAGTGGTGCCCAATACGAAGGTAAAATATAATAATAAACTAAATAATTGACAGTTGCTGCTCGTTAATGGTGCATCACAATCTGTTGTCTGAAACAGACTGTTTCATTCTATCCAAGGGAAGGGCTGGCCCAGAGTACATTTGTTTAACCATGCCAAGAAACCTCCTGCATAAAATTTTGTAACATAGTGCCCTTTAATGGAATCTACTTTGGGTAGAGTCCACTGCGCTCTCAATTATGATTTAAAATTTTGTGAAAAGAAAAGCGGATGAGGTAGTTGACAAGGAAGAGTAGGAGTGAGGGAAGACTCAATAAAGCTCATGTCCTTGTGGGCAGTCTTACCATCTCCTGAGGATACTGAACCGATATTTTCTTTTGAATTATATTTGTTCCCTGGAAAAGGTGATCTAACTCGGGGCTCTCTGTCTCTTTTTAATGATTCTCTGTCACGTCGAGCTTTTGTGGCTTTATGATATGTCTCTAACGGGGCTTCTTGTCTAGGACCGTGGTAATTTGAACACTAATCTGTATAGACAGAGAACTCCTGTGAGGTCTTGGGTACTGCAAGCAGAATAATCCTTGCATATTGTTTTCTTCTGGTCTACAGCCAGGTTTGTAAAGCAGAGAAACACAAAGGGCCAATATTTTTTTTAAATTAAGATGCTAAGTTGATACCACAGTTTGCACCTACAAAAATCACCATGCTTTGGTGTTGATCTCTATATTTAGACCTTGGCAACAGGCCACTGAGATGTTGCAATCCTATGCATGCTTACCTGGGAGGCAGCCCCATTGACCATTATGGAAATTACTTTGAGTATACACACATAGGATCGTGCTTCAAGATAGAGAAGGAGACTGCTCTTTTTGTGGAAACAGTTCCTTGAGTTCTCTGAAGTTTGTTTTTTCAGGGCTGGCTCCAATGTCTCTCTTCCCTGTTTCTGGTTTGTAGGATGGGTAGGGGACAAAAGGCAGTGTTAAAACGGAGCCAAGCGAGAAAGACGTCTATACCGGGCAGTAACAGCGTGTGCAATTCAAAATGAATATAGTCTTCCCTAACACTTACAAACATTGTTAGTCCCCTGTCTATACTGTGTAACTGTACATCGCTTTGAGCCCACTGGGGAAAGTGATTAATAAATGGAAAGTATCATTCATCATCATCTTCATCATCATCATCATCATCATCATCATCATCACCACAGATGTTGTCATAAGGAACTAGAAGGGTTCCTGGTGATGGCCTGCAAGGACGTCATAATCCATAAAGCAACACTGGAACAGTTTCAGTCCATAAGTGCATTGGCCCCATCCCCTGCCTCTGCATGAGTGGGTTGTCTGATTGTCTGCAGAGTGCAACTGTGCAGAGGAAGTGGCTGCGCCCACACCCTGTCCCCATGATCAGCAGCACAGCATTACTATTCATGGGATGGGGACATAACACATGGCTACTTCCTTTGTGTGGTCACACTCTGCAGTTGACCAGGCAGTCATGTGGAGGCAAGGGGCAGGATCAGCATCCTCGTCCCCACTCTCCCTCCTCATGTGGGGAGGGGGGTGTTGGTCCCAGACTAATACAATTAAAGGAACAAGTAATTTACTTTTTAAAATTCCTTCTAGGTCTTTAAAGGTTTTCCTGTGGTATCGCTTCTGCTTAAAACTCTTAGGGGCGGCACATGTGTCACGGCTGTCGCATGGAGACTGGTTCAATTTACTGCATGTGGCAGCAGACACCATGAGGCGAACCCTTCAGACGTATAGAAGAGGTTGTTGTTGTTGTTGAGTCGCACAGTCGAGTCCAACTCTTTGCGACCCCATGGACCAGATCACGCCAGGCCTTCCGGTCTTCCGCCGTCCTCTGAAGTTTGCTCAACTTCATGTTCGTTGCATCCATGACACTGTCTAACCATCTCATCCTTTGCCGTCCCCGTCTTCTTTGACCTTCAATCTATCCCAGCATCAGGGTCTTCTCCAGTGAGTGCTCCCTTCTCATTTGGTGGCCAAAGTATTTGAGCTTCAGTTTCATTATCTGGCCTTCCAGGGAACAGTCAGGGTTGATTTCTTTTAGGATTGACTGATTTGATCTCCTTGCAGTCCAAGGGACTCTCAAGAGTCTTCTCCAGCACCATAGTTCAAAAGAATCTATTCTTCGGCGCTCGGCCTTCCTTATAGTCCACCTCTCGCAGCCATACATGACTACTGGGAATACCATTGCTTTGACCATGCGGACTTTTGTTGGCAGGGTGATGACTCTACTTTTTATCATGCTGTTTAGGTTAGAAGAGGTAGCTAGATCTAGAACAGAGGAAAACACTGGTCTAGGTAGCAGATCTGCTCCCCACAAAATTACTCACCAATGTTATGAACACCAACATGTGGAACGAGTTGAAGTTGATGAGAGTTTCTTAAAGTTTTGCTGTCTTTTAGTATAGGATGCTCTTTAGCTCTCCTGAAACAGGATTTTTTTAAAATGCACATACAGACGCTCACAAATCTTTAATCAGAGAAGATTCTGTTAGGGAAAAGACTCTCCACAAGAGGCCAGAAAGTTGCTTTCAGGAAGTTAACAAATAGTACATGGTGAAGGCACCTCCTACCCTTGTTTGTTCATGTTACTTAGTATTCAGAGGCGTACTGCCTCTGAACATGGATACTCATTTAGCTGTTCAGGCTAGGAAAAGGATATTTAGTCAGAATGTTTGAGTGTTAATTTCTTTGTAAGCTATTTTGTTTACATTTATTTATAGAGGTTGTTTGGCTAGCCAAGTAGGTCATTGAAAAGCAAGAGCTTGCCAGATGATCATCCTTATTCCTCCGGAGAGAGTTTTGCATATTCCTTCTTATTCCACAACAACATGAAAAATGACTGTATTTTTGTAGAAATATGTTCACATTTTTCATTCTGCTCTAATTTAAATGGAGCGAAAATAAGCCAGTACCTAAAAGGGCATTTTTTTTCAATGAGTACTACAGGATGATTTTCAAGTAGTGGAGATGCCAACAGTGCAGCCCCATAAACATTTTCCTGGGAGTAAGCCCCACTGAGTATTCTGAGTAGACCAGCTTTACCTGGCACTGTAACAAGAGTTGCACCTTCTAGAAGGACGTAACTCTGCTTAGAGTTAAATCTGGTTTTGGATGCCAGTTAAACAAACAAATGTTAAGTTCAGGTCAAACACAGCCTCCCTCTAATGCCTTTCACAGAATTGTGACAAAATATAAAGTAACCCCACATTTCTTTGTAAGGGACAAGCTCTTGGGGGGGAAATGGTAAAGAAAAGGTCAGGGGGGAATAATAGAATCACAGAGTTGGAAGGGGCAGTAAAGGCCATCTAGTCCTGCTCAATGCAGGATCAACCTAGAGCATCCCTGACAAGTATCAAAACTGATGATGAGAGAAATATCCCTTCCTACCCTTGCATATTGAGCTGCGGTGGCTCAAGTGGTTAAGATGCTGAACTGCAGGCTGTGGAAGGTCAGTAGTTCAGCAGTTCGAGACCCGGGTGCCGCAAGACTGAGTGAGCTCCCATCTCTAGTTCCAGCTCCTGCCAACCTAGCAGTTCGAAAGCAAGAAATTGCAAGTAGATAAATAGGTACCACTTCGGTGGGAAGGTAACAGCGTTCTGTGCGCCTTGGTGTTTAGTCATGCCGGCCACATGACCACGGAAATGTCTTTGGACAGCGCTGGCTCTTCGGCTTTGAAACGGAGATGAGCACTGCAACCCTAGAGTCGGATTCGACTGGCTTTCGAGCAAGGGAAACCTTTACCTTTACCCTTAAAATAAAGCAGCATTTCACCATATTTAAGAGCAGGCAGATTTCATCCTACTAGCATTGAGCTGGAGCAGGGGTATATCCTAGTTCAAGGCTTGCCCTAGAAGGGCTCTAGTTGGCAAGTGGAAGGGCAAAGCACCTGACTGGAGCAGCTGAGAGGAAGATTTAAACACTGCTTCCACATTCCTCACGGATCTTTCTTTTTACTCTTAAAAGGAATCTGAAAAAATGTAATCTGCAAAAAGTAACCAGCCACCCTCCCCTGTCCTGCAAACAGTGGTTATAGGTTTGATTGTTTATTAATCTTGATCACTCTGTTCCCAAGCATACTTACCTGGAATTAACTTTCCTTGAAATCACAGGAGGTCAGTGTATGGATCAAAGTGGCTACAAATGGGCTGCCAGACTATTACCTGGAATAATACTATTACCATTTCCATTTTACTGTTCATTCATAGCTCTCTGTAGAAAGCAAACATTTGTAATGGTTGTTAAGTGGTGTTATTGATTACTATATAGTGTATGTACCTGTACTTTGGGGATCTGTATTTGTTGGATTTGCAGTTTAAAATTGTTTAACACTTAGTTTTCCTCTTGTTTTTCAGGTTGGAGATATCGTGATGGTAAAAGAAGATGATACATTTCCTTGTGACTTAATACTTTTGTCAAGTAGCCGTGCCGACGGAACATGTTTTGTTACAACAGCAAGTTTGGATGGCGAGTCCAGTCATAAGGTAGTAAATTTGCTGAAACTTCATTGTAAGACCAGATTGAATGCTTTTTAAGCCTTGCATAGCCCACATCTTGTGCGTGGAGGTATTTGTTACTCTTAAGCTTAGGCTTAACCAAACAGTGCACCAAACAGTGCAGAGCTATTTGATTTAGTTTACAGAATTGGAAATTTTCAGTGGTACTAAAAAAATCCAAACTTAGAGTCCTGTGGCACCTTTAAGACCAACAAAGGTTTATTCCAGGTATGAGTTTTCGTGTGCAAGGCACACTTTATCAAATACATTGCAGTGGTGTGTAAGGTTCAGACTTATAGACAGGGAAATTAACATGTAACATGATGATGTTTAAGACCTGCAAAGTCCAAAATAATAAGCTAAGGTTATAAGGTCAACAGCTATAAAGCAATAAATATGTCCGAATAGCAGATAAATGTCCAAAGGTGTCTTTTCTAATTGTGGGAAGCAAACTGAGAATCTCCATACTGTCCTCCCAGGCGGGAAGATGACTTAACAGCACTTTTTGAGGTGGATGCAGGGTCATGTCAGCAAAGCATTCCAATATTCCCGGCATTACATTCAGTATTCTAATGTACTATTCTGAAAAAGAAAAACACTAAAATACAGAGGATTTATAGTCCCCCTTGTTGAGAATACATACGTGAGGACTGAATGAGTTAGTATATGTAATGAGATAAAAAAAACAATATCCCTGTTGAGTCCTGGGGAGGTTTTTGTCCCAAGTGTTGTAATTACTTGTAGTACTGTTGACCTTATAACCTTAGCTTGTTATTTTGGACTTTCCATATCTTAAACATCATCATGTTACATGTTAATTTCCCTGTCTATAAGTTTGAACCTTACACACCTTACAATGTATTTGAAAAAGTGTGCCTTGCACATGAAAGTGCATACCTGGAATAAACCTTTGTTAGTCTTAAAGGTGCCACTGGACTCTAATTTTGTATTACTACTTCAGACCAACATGGCTGCCCACCTGGATCTAAAAAAAATCCAGTAATTATTTAGAATTGAAGAATTTTGCAAACTAAAAATAATTGACTACTTTATTATACCCTGACAGTAGGCAATATTTTTCCAGTTTGAATCTCTCATTTTAGTTTTAGAAGTACCTTGACTAATGAACATGTGATTTACCTATATCTTTTCTGTCCATTCCAGACATATTATGCAGTTCAAGATACAAAATCCTTTCAGAGTGAACAAGATATTGACACTTTGCATGCTACTATTGAATGTGAACAACCTCAGCCTGATCTATATAAGTAAGAATATGCAGTAAATTATTCTCTTTTTGTTTATGGTGGCTTTACTGAAATAATTGTTCATACTAGGCTCCAGGTGTGCACAATGATTTATCTTGGAGGGTACAGGGAAACTGCTTCCTAAATATTCTTGCCAGAAGAACTGAGTAGCCTCCGTGTATTTCTAGCGGTTTGGTTCCTCTCCTCTCCTCTCCTCTCCTCTCCTCTCCTCTCCTCTCCTCATGCCTCGTTGGTCCAACATAGTGGTAGAACTAGGGCACTTGTAATAGTAATGCTTCTAGGTGTGTCTTTGTGTGGTTTTATGTGCCTATTCTTGATCTGTGAATTAAATAGAGTCTAGAACAACTCAAACAAGCTGTTGATATGTCTTATGTCTGTACCAGGTCCAAGTTTTTACATGGTTGCTGCATTGCCATTAAGGAGTTCTAGCTTTTCATTGGTACTGTTTTCTGACCATGATATTTGGTGGGGTGGGGTGGAATGATATCTTAGCTAAGCATCTTTTGCATTACGTATTTTGTCCTTGGTTGTTGAATTGCCGCTAGTGCTTGGAATTGTTTTTGATGCATGTTGTTTAGAGTATTTCTGAAAATTACCTTCAGTTAGATGTAATGCCATGTTTTATGCCTATTCTGCCAAGCCTGAGTTGTGGGAATGAGGCCAAGCAGATTCAGTTTCTGTTGGCTCTTCTTCCATTCCCTACTGTACGATCATGCTTAGAATCCTAACTTGGAAAAGTGCCTGAACAAAGCTAAGTAACAGCTGACTGCTAACTGTGTGCCAGCATTCATTCATGAGTTTTATATGGAGTCAGTAACTGGTCTTGATACCATGCACATTGAATGTATTCAGATAGGAATAAAAATCATAATACACATATTAGCTACACTGTCTTTTTAGTAAATTAGGATTGTATTATATGCTGTAAGAGTTCAAAAGTGTAGCAGTGGTGGTGTGTTTTGGCAAAATTAAAAAGTGGCATATTTAAGACTAGCCAAGTTTATCCTGACATAAGCTTTCATCACTTCACATGCTTCTGAAGAAGTGAGGTCTGACTCAAACTTATACTGGAACAAACTTGGCTATTTATTTATTTTAAATGTTTCTATGCCACCTTTCTACCCCATTAGGATCCCCAAGGTGGCAGACATTAAAACATTAAAAACAGCATATAGAATTATGAAATAATTTGATAAAAACACATAAATATATATGATTAGTTTTAGAGGTGCTACTTAATCTCTGTTTTACTTGTCAATGTATAGTTGGGAATAGGGATGGGCACAAACTGGGAAAATGGAGGTTCGTCCCAGTTCGTGGTTTATGAGGTCTCACAAACAACGAACCTCACCGAATTTCCGCATTTAACAAACCAGTTCTCAGATCTTCCCTCCCTCCTTTCTGCTGGTGGCTTCCCAAGGCCAGCAGAATGGAAGTGTGTGTGTGGGGGGGAGAATTCTTGCAAAAGCCATTTAAAGGGAATGTTTTTTATTTAAAGATACCAATACAGGAACAAAAACAACGTTAACAACATTAATAAAGTGTACAACAAAACACAGAGTAATAGCATGTAGTAGAGTTACAACTCAAAATAACATTGGCAATTTTAATAACTTTAAATGGCTTTTGCAAGTCATTTTAGCAATCCCTCTCGCTTCCCCCCCCCCCCGCTCCCCACCATGAATCCCATGAATGTCTGAAATCGTGTGGAGTATCATGGGAGGGTCATGGATAGGGATAGGCACAAACCTCCAGTTTGCAAACCATGAACTGATTATGTTCATCACAAAATTAAGTTCATGACAAGCTTCATGCCCATCCCTAGTTCGGAATACTTCCGTTTACATGGATTTAGGCTATGATCCTAGGCTTTACCTATTTGAAAGTGTCATCATATATTTAACTTATTTTTGAGAAATGCATTTACAGTTGAGTTACATGTTCCATACATAAGGAACCAACGATACTCAACAGTATATATACATACAAATAGAAGAAGAAGAAGAGATTGGATTTATACCCCGCCCTTCACTACCCAAAGGAGTCTCAGAGCGGCTTACAAACTCCTTTCCCTTCCCCTCCCCACAACAGACACCCTATGAGGTAGGTGGGGCTGAGAGAGCTCTGTCAGAAACCTCCTTTTTTCTAGAACAGCTGTGCCAGACCTATGGCTTGCCCAAGGTCGTCCAGCAGGTGCCAGTGGAGGAGTGGAGAATCAAACCCGGTTCTCCCAGATTAGAGTCCACGCATTTAACCACACCAAACTGGCTCTCTTAAATACAGTTCGACTCATACTTTTGTACATTTAATTATCAAATACAAAACATTCTATAATGAAAAACAACAACAATTTCTTTCAGAACAGTACAAACAGTAGAACAAGCGGGAGTAAAAAAAATGTCTAGTGAAACTTTCCAGATGTGTATAAATTGATCACGAGGTCCCAGATGTGTATTTAACTTATTTCTGAGAAGTTCATTTGCAGTTGAGTTACATGTTCCTTCGGCTTCAAATGGGATTTATTTGTCAGAGTGTGGAGAGTTGTTTCTGCCTTGCTCACTTCAGTAGAGCTGAAGCAGTTCCATGTTTAATTGGTTGATGGAGCCAACACTGAGATATCAACACTAGGCTAATAAAATTGAACATTGGATTTGGCACTAATGAGATGTTAGGTACTGTTGAGCACTCAGGTGGAATGGCTGTTTGCCTTTGGGACTTCAATTTGAAGGCCCTCTGGTGTGCTGGGTATATAACAGAATTTCCAATTACCAGTCCTGAAAAGCAGTCAACTGAAAAGCACTTGAAAGAGCCACTGTTGAAGAAAAAAGTGAGACACCTGTGTGTGCATGCACGCATGCGTCTGTGCATGTGCACACACACAACCCCTTATGTAAACTGGAAAGAGTCTGTCAATCCCCCTCCCAGGGAGGGTCAGGGGCCACTTCCCCCACACAGGTGTTCCATCATTCTTCAGTCTTTCCAATAAAAGGCAGACACCAGGAGACAGCTAACATTATGTTTTATTGCACAGTTCGCTCACAGCTGCGGTGGCTCAAGTGGTTAAGACGCTGAACTGCAGGCTGTGGAAGGTCAGTAGTTCAGTGGTTCAAGACCCGGGTGCCGCAAGACAGGGTGAGCTCCCGTCTCTAGTTCCAGCTCCTGCCAACCTAGCAGTTCGAAAGCAAGAAATTGCAAGTAGATAAATAGGGACCACTCCGGTGGGAAGGTAACAGCGTTCTGTGTGCCTTGGTGTTTAGTCATGCCGGCCACATGACCACGGAAACGTCTTCGGACAGCGCTGGCTCTTCGGCTTTGTAACGGAGATGAGCACCGCAACCCTAGAGTCGGACTCGACTGGCTTTCGAGCAAGGGAACCTTTACCTTTACTTTACTTTGCTCACAGTATAACAGAGTTCCAGGTTCAAATGTCATATTATAGCCAAGAGGTGCACAGTATTTCTACCTGTTCCCATCAAGGTTCTTTAACGGGTGCTCTAGCTGTTTCATTGTTACTGCAGGGTTGTTTTGGGGTAGGGTGGGGCTAAGAGAGTAACCCACTGCTTTCCTGGACAGAGATCAGTTCACCTGGAGAAAATGACTGCTTTGGAAAGTGGACTCTGTGGTATTATACCCCACTGAAGTCCCTCCCCTTCCTAAACCCAACCCTCCTCAGGCTCCACCCCCAAAATCTCTAGGTAATTCCTCAACCTGGACATGGCAACCCTGCTGGTCCCTTCTGTCCTCTCAGGCTTACTGCCCTTACCAGCTACCTGTCTTCCTTCCTTCTTTCTTCCTGCTCTGGGCTTTTATTCTCCTTCCTCCTGCCAAGCCCCTATCATGGCAGTCTTGATTGGCTCTGGAGTACACCTTTACTCCCAAGGAGATCTCTTCTTCCAATGCAGCTGTTACTCCTGTGGAGTCTAGTTCTAGCAATCCGTGGAGTCCTGTTCTAGCCGTCTTGGCCACTACATGCCTTGTAGGTGTCTTCAGGGACCAGTCCTGCCTTTCCCCCCTCCTGGTAGTTATGGTGCTGACTCTCTTGGGTTGTTCCCAGACTCGGCCACTTTAAAGCCTAGCCTGCAGGATTTTAACTATAACAGACAACCCAGTAAACTTTTTGAGAAATGTTTACTTTTGGGGAGTGACCTCAAGGAAGCAGGACCAAGCATAGAAAGTGTTGGCTGGTGAATTCACATGGACTAGCAAGAAGCAGAAATAGAAGTGAGAGGAAGGAAGGTAGAATGGAACAGTTTAGAACTTTATCAAATTACAAAGGCTTAGGGTGGCTTACAAAAATTCAAAACACATAAATAGCTGTTAAAACAATCATAAAACCTTTTGAAAACCATCCAAATAATATAAAGTGCTAGTACATTGGTCTGGAAATAATAATACAGTATTGTTTAAAAAAAAATGTGGATCCTGTCAGAAATAAGAAGAGAGGTTGGGTGGAGAAGAGTGAGATTGTTTTAATAGAACTATTTGATGGAAGAAGTTAGCAGTGGGAAAGCAAGAAAGGAATTTGTCATGAATTTTAAGATAAAAGATTATCTAGGGGCATTAACATAGATGGACAGGAGAGAGGGTAAATTTTAAAACAGAAGGAGTAGCAAGTCCTGCTAACTTTCTGCAGTATTTCTGATCAAATATAAACTCAACTTGCTACTCTAATAACATAAAATACATAATTCATAACTTGTTTAGCATATAAAATTGTACTATTTAGCATATTTTCTGCAATGCACACTACCTGGGTCAACCCTTGAAAGCATTTGGAAACGTCAATTGGTGCAGAATGCTTCAGCCAGGATATTGACAGGAGTAGGTCACAGGGACTATATCACTCTCATCTTGGTTTATCACACAGGCTCCCAGTCTGTTTCCAGGCACAACTCAGAGTGCTGGTGTTTACCTTTAAAGCCCTATATGGTTTGGGACCAACATGCGAAAGAGATCTTGGGGTAAGAGTGGACTGTAAACTAAATATGAGCAGTCAGTGTGATGCGGTGGCAAAAAAGGCTAATTCAGTCTTGGGATGTATTAAAAGGGCCATAGTATCGAAATCGCAGGAGGTCATAGCCCCTCTGTGTACTGCGTTGGTCAGGTTGCACCTTGAGTACTGTGTGCAGTTCTAGAGGCCTCACTTCAAAAAGGATGTGAGCAAAATTGAGAGGGTGCAGAAGAGAGCGACGAGGATGATCAGCGGTCTGGAGACTGAGCCCTACGAGGAAAGGTTAAGGGCCCTGGGAATGTTTAGTTTGGAGAAGAGGAGATTGAGGGGGGACATGATTGCTCTCTTTAAATATTTGAAAGGATGTCATTTGGAGGAGGGCAAGGAGCTGTTCCAGTTGGCAGCAGAGGATAGAACCTGAAGCAACGGGTTTAAATTACATGCAGAAAGGTATCAGCTGGATATTAGGAAAAACTTTTTAATGGTCAGAGTGGTTCAAAGGTGGAATCAGCTGCCTAGGGAGGTGGTAAGTTCCCCTTCACTGGCAGCTTTCAAGAAGAGGCTGGATGAATATTTGTCAGAGATGCTTTAGGCTGGTCCTGCATTGGGCAGGGGGTTGGACTAGATGGCCTGTATGACCCCTTCCAAGTCTATGATTCTGGGATTCTATGAACATACTTGAAGGACTGCATACTTCCTTATGAACCTACCTGTCCACTGTGGCTATCTTCCGAGGCCCTGTTTTGGCTCCCCCTGCCTTCTGATATTAGACAGGTAGCAACCTAGGGCCTTCTCAGTTGTTGCACTAAAACTCTGAAAAAAAAATCCCGAGGGTGATATGTCTGCCCCTTTTTGTTGCCATCTTCTGCCTGCGGGTGAAGACTTTCTTGTTTTGTTTGATGTACCCTGAGCAATCCCTCCTTTCTAACCAATGTGTTAATTATTGTTTTTATGTTTTTGTATGTGTATTTTAGCTCTGGCTTTGTTTTAATTATGTATTTTAATTTGTTTTAATGGTTTTTAGGATGTGATTTTATTGTATATGTTTTTAATTTGTTAGCTGCCTTGGTGGCCCTTGAGGGCAGAAAGGTGGGGTATAAATTTTGTAAAATAAATAGATTTATGAAATCATAATGTATATATTTCCTTAGTTCAAACAAAATTGTCAGTATACCCAAAACTTGAGAGAGTGTTGCACACTTTTACACCCTATGCTACATAGGCATGTATATTTTAGTTTTTTCCCTTTGGAATTTCTCTTCTAAGGGTTCACTGCCACCACCCTTTTGACTGTCTTATCCTCCAGCAAGAAAGAGCAATAAACTGCTGGTTTTCTTATGACAGGTTTTCTACATAATGCTGGCAAGGCAAAGATATACTGTAGGAGTGAGATCAAGATAAGATCAGATTAATGGTACCACTTTGGAGTATCTCCATTAGGGGTGGGAATGAACTGGGCAAATGGAGGTTCATCCCAGATCTTGGGATCACATGAACAACAAACCTTCACAAGCTTCCCCGTTTACCAAACCAGTTTGTTTCATGAGGTTCGTGTTGGTGTGTGTGTGTCTTCCCTCTTTTCTGCTGGGCTGCTGGGGGCAGCTTCCTGAGGCCAGCAGGATGGAAGGGGGGGGGATCTTCCCTTTCTCCTTTCTGCTGGCAGCGACTCCCTGAGGCCAGTAGAATGAAAGAGCTTGCAAAAGCCATTTAAAGGGAATGTTCCCTTTAAATAGCTTTTGCAAGCTGTGTCTGAGTGAAGTCTAAGTGGCCAGTTCTCCCAGAAGTGAACTGCACAAGCCTCCGTCAAAAACATGGAGATTCATTGGAGGTTCATTGTGGGAGGGATTGTACGACTCTCAACTCACGAACCAGGCAATGTTCATCACGGAATTAGGTTTGTGATGAGGTTTGTGCCCACCCCTAATCTCCACTAAGGTAGATCGAACTTCTTGAGAGGCAGGTGCGTTCGTTGGAGCAAAAATAAAACAGGAGTATCATGGCACTTTAAAGACTTAATAAAATTCTATTCTACCATAAGCTTGCGTGATCAAGAATATTCATAGAGGCCATTCATTAGTTATGCTAAGCTAGTTAATTGGTGGGGAGTTGAAGGTTTTGCTAGGATAAGTGTAATGCATAAGAGCTCCCAAGCTCGGGGGAGGGGCAGCATCAAATCTGTTAAAGAATTCCAATACAGCAGTTTCACCCTTTGAAGTCCTTTTATTGAAGAATTGGGACTTTCAGGTCTGTCCAGTGGTTTGTGAATATTGTGATTTTAAATGTCAGATTTATGTCAGTTTATTCTTTTATGTAGGGGACAGACTCATTTTTCCTATGTAGAAAGCCGAAGGGCATTCTTGAAGCATGATGGCATACATCACGTTGGAGGATGAGCGAGGGAATGGGCTCACGATGGTAGAACTGACATTATTAGGTCCTGTAATAGTATTGCCTGAGTATTATATGGATTTCAGAGTCACCAGATGAGGGCAGGCAGAAATTCACAAGCACAGAGTACCCTGTGTGCTCTTCTCATGAAGATGGCACTATCTTCTAGGTGCAGAAATAATTTTTGGAGTTAAATTTTTTTATGCCTGAAGATCACATAGGAATTATCATTATCTAGTGCTGTAAGTGTACTACAAAAAAAACTCTGCCATCTGCAAAGGGGCAAAAAGCACCTTCTGCAGTACTGTTGTCTTGGGAAAAGAGTGTTTATGGGGTAGGCTGGAGCCTTACCTCCTTTGGTGCTGCGGTCCCAATCCAAATCAGTCCTTGCAGCACTTGAGTAAGCAAGTTCCCTGTAGCCGCCATACGGCTGCCGGGAACTTGTGTCCAAACATCTCATGTCGTGTGGCTGTAGATCTGCAGAAAGAAGAAAGAGGTAGTCAACTTTTAGATAGTAATGGGAGTTTAGATAGTAATGGGAGCTTGTTCATTGTCATTTCAGGCCAGGAATGGGCAGCTAAGGATACACAGCCTTTAGGATAGATTTGTGGTTCATCTTTCTAGAGGAAGAAGCAAAAACAACTTGCATGCAGGTTTATACCATTACCTTATTGTATGTTTTTCTACAGAAGTCTCCTAATGTGCTTTTCTGTTTCAGGTTTGTTGGCCGAATAAATGTTTACCATGACCAAAGTGAGCCTACTGCAAGGTAAGACTTTTTTAAAAAAACTGCTTAGGTTATTTATTCCTCGCTTTGAGCAGATTTTATAGGAACGGTTCCTTTGGTCTGTCAGAGGTTTTGGATTCAAAACACAGATTTCAACTGTATATAGTAAACAGTATTGTTGTTTTTTAAGTTGAGGCATTCTCAATCTTGTTCAAATTTAACATTGAAAATTAGTGTTTCGCAAAAGATGGGGGAAACCGATCCGTTCTATTTCCTAAACATGATTAACAGTGCAATCCTAAGCAGGGCTACTCAGAATCCTACTGGTCTATTCAGTGATGACTACTCCCTGGAAAACGTTCTCAGGATTGCACTGTAAGAAATTAAGCTGTTGGGGACATCAGCTGTACGATGTGTATTTTTAATCTGAATAGTGGGCTGAAGCAAGAATAATAATAATAATAATAATAATAATAATAATAATAATAATACTTTTGATTTATTGATCGCTCTTTCCCACACACCTGCAGGCTCAGAGCGATTTACAGTTACTCTTTGACAATTGGACTAACAATATTCGTGGGGGATAGGGAAGACAACATACAGCATTTTTAACTGCACACACATTGCAGCTAGCCGGGGCTTCATCTGCGGGCTGGATCAGTCGTGTTCCGACGGCAGTTATTCTATGCTACAGAAGTAGAAGTAGATTAAAATGATCTGAGGGCGCAAATGAATGGCATAAGACTTGGGGGTTGAATTTTGCATTCTCATTACAGCTTGTGGAACTTCTCAAAATACAGCCCTTGGGGCTTTGTGTACCCTTGGGACCCTTGGTATTGCCAAAATTCCCCCGCGGCTGAGTAGGCATGCACCTTACTTGCAGAAGAGAAGTCTGGACTCGACCTCATAGCCTTTTTCTCACCAGCAGGCTGTAGTTTTCTTGGGATTGAGCACACATCACTTGATTTGGTGGTGGTGGCCAGTTTGGTGTAGTGGTTAAGTGCGCGTACTCTAATCTGGGAGAACCGGGTTTGATTCCCCACTCCTCCACTTGCACCTGGCTGGATGACCTTGGGCAAGCCATAGTTCTGATAAGAGCTGTTCTTGAAAAAGAGCAGTTTCTGTCAAGAGCTCTCTCAGCCCCTCCTACCTCACAGGGGGTCTGTTGTGGGGAGGGGAAAGGAGTTTGTAAGCCGCTCTGAGACACCTTTGGGTAGTGAAGGGCGGGGTATAAATCCAATCTCTTCTTCTTCTTGATTTAAATCTGGAAAGGAATAAGCTTCATTTCAGCCTGGTCTATACACGCAGTAGAAGCAGATGGCGGAATGGACTTCAGTGAGGAATTGCTTTTTTTAAAAGAACTTTCCAGTGTTAATAATTTCTTGTTGATGGAAAACAAGCACAGCATACAAAGGTTTAGGCTATAAACATTCTCCCTGATGTTCTAAGTTTTATTTGCAGAGGATTTTTAGATGGAGGATAAGCATTAAAAATGTGAGCTTTTCCACCTGTAGTCTGAAACGATACCGCCTATTCTGCCACTTCAGAATTCTACCCCCTGCATGTGTTGACCGCCACATTTAAGACTGCAGGGATTTTGCCTGCCTTGGAGTATTGGCTCCGTTTTAGATTTTGTGGTGTTCGTGGCATCTTTTAAAAGCCTCGGGCAGCTGGAAAATTGCATTGGATAAATTCATAATAAACGTTTGAAAAACAGTATTTCAGGGTTTAAATTTACCATTTTGATCAGCTGCTTACATGTGTGTTCACTTAATTAGCTACTTTTGACTCTATCTGTTGCAGTAAACTTCTGTTCAGGAAAATGGAAGTGTAGAAGCAAAGAGTTTGTGTGAATATTGTAAAGGGCATATTTATATTTATCTTAGCAAGGGTGTTCTTGAAGGGTCAGATGTGTTTACCTCAGGGGTCTTTGGGGGGGGACGCGGGGGGACGCCATCCCCCCGGGTGAGGTGCGGGAGGGCGGGGTCTGGAGCTCCCTGCTGGTGCCCGCTGGAGGTCGCCGCCGGATGTGGGGAGGACACACTTCCGGTGATGTCAGGGTGTGTGGCATATGCTAATGAGTTATGCTAATGAGTCCCCCTAGCTCTTTTTCTACGAAATGACCCCTGGTTTACCTTTTTGGTCCCAGGACTTTGATTTATCACTATGGGGGAAGGGATCAATATATGGGAGGCATATGGCTGTCCCTGGCACACAAAATACTCGATTGATTAAAAACTGGTAGCTAAAACCAAGGTAGAATATTTACTGATAAAGAACTGTGTACTGATTTTGCCCCAAATACTTTATGACATAACTTTTTCTTATTCCATCCTCCCAAATTTATACAACAGTAAAATAATGTATATAATTTAAGCAGCTTTTTGTTTTTCTCAGGATGTAATGAGTACTTTTTAGAACATAATCAGTTGCCTCTGTATCTGGCAAAGCCGCTTTTTGTAAAACTCTTTAATTTGAAAGCACTAATACGCTCAAAGATCTTCTGTCAAGATCACTCATGCTTATTCATAATCTGTGGTGAGATACTGAAGAAAGATTTGTGTTATCCATATGTAGTCCAAATGGTGTTTCCTCTTAATTGTTAAGGATGACCTTTGACGTTTTTAATTTTAAAAAGGTGAGCAGTTATATGCCTATAAATAAATATTTTCCTCTGCCTTAAGTATTCATAAGTAAAGCTATTCTTATATTTAATCAATCTTTAACCAGAAAGACCATTAAGTAAGCAGTTTCAGGTTTGTACCGACTGCAGAACTTGCTTATTACATTGTAAAACAGTGACAGTGTAACTGAATGT